AGCCACCCCAGGGCCGGGCACTTGCTACGTTATCACAGCTTGCTTTCATGGCTGCCACCACACTTTGAGTAGAAACTTTAATTGATGTTCAGAGTGGTGCTAAGGTCTCTTCCCTGAGTAACAACGTGTAATTTAGCACACCATATTGAATGAGAAATTCAGATTATTTTTCCTAGCATGCATTAATGTGTCAGTAGCTGAATTTCATCTGTCGTCATGCTGTCAAATTATAGTACCTAAGTTTGTCCCTCTAATTATGTTGGTTTTATCTGATCAGTTTTGTATCATCAGAAGAATTTGCTACCTCACCATTCTACCCTCCACCCCTTATTCCAGATCATTACTATAGCAAACAACATAGTTTCTAAATTGAAATTTTGTGGCCGTTCCAGAATTAAACCATATTACAAATTGAGTACTTAATTGTGCTGTCCACATCCTGTATGTTGTCTCTTGTGTTTAATCTGCATCTACACTTTCCTTCTCACCTATTAATAATTACTTTATTGAATAGTATTTTTGCTGGATTCTGCTGAGGAATTTATGAAAGTCCAAAAAAGTTATATCTTGTTCAGAGAATAGTAATAGATTGCAAAGGAGCAGTCCTTTACAGAGCCATAATGGTTGTCCCCCTCATCATATTTCCAAAGACATTTTATAAGTTTATTTTAATTGTAGTTTGAGCCAATTTTCCCATTACCAAGGTAAAAGAGTTAGTCTGTAATCCCCACGGTCACTCATTCCCCTCTTTGTTTAATGTGCATCCTCCAATCAGGAGGGTAAAATTACTGATATTTTTGTTAGCTACTTTGCACTAATCCAAGAAAAGACTTAGAAGCCTACAAGTCTGTAATATCTCGCTGTTACGTGACTGCCCTAGGACAGCTTTAATGGTAATTCAAGTAGCAAGAAGTGTCCTTGCTAAGAGGTTAGAGGTAGCAAAAAAGCAAATTCACAAATGTGAAGTGTTTATGATTCGCTGCCAATAATTGTTTTCTAAAAAATGGCCATGTTGCAGAACTGGCTCTCAGAACAACAGACAACAGGTGGTGTTTCTGTTTGAATGAGTCAGTTTGTACTTGGTTGATTAAAATTCCCAGATTCATTTTTGTCTGTGTACATGTATTGTCAGCTAATGATGTTCAATAAGAGTTTAAAATGTCTTGGCCAAAACTGAAAGTGAGAATGAGAGTCTTCTATGAAAAAGGAAATGTCACTCTTGAGCTGCAAATAACAAGAGAAAAATTGAAAGCAAAGCCAATCAGCCATCTAGTCGAGCACACTTAAGATTTCTGAAAGCAGATGTTTCAATTCCAGATGATTCCCTCCCCCGTCCCAGTCTTGAGTGACATTTTGATTGTGTTCCTACCTCTAAAAATAAAGTTTTTAAACAAATTGGAGGAAAGGATGTTTGTGGGTGATACCTTTTATTGGACCAATTGCTTTTTGTTTTCTTCTGATAGTTCCCATAGGTCTGAAAGAAAAGAACAAGAATAAAACGTTGTCCCTCACTGCTGAGGTAGCTCCGTTTATGGATGAAGAATGTGCTTTGTGCAATAATAACCTGAGGTAACTGTACAGTAATACAAAACATTTGGAAGAATCCATAAAGAGGAAAACCCGAGTATTGATGTCATGAAAGATCCTGCCAAGTGGTCAGTAATCAGTGACACCATTCTCTTTTTCCTTGTGAATTCTGCGACAGTCCAAACAATTTGTAAGGGTTTTCCTTTGAATACTAATGGAAGGAAATGTTAAGCTTTCCATTTTTCATTCTGGCTTCCAGCTGAAGAATGCAAGAAAGAGAAGTTGGCTTCTCAATTCCACTTTAGATTATTCCATTCATTTCTTCTACTGCAGGTTTTCTCTGCAGATTTTGTTTAAGCTTGCAAGGTTAAGTGGTTCAAGACTGAAGAAACAAATTGAATATCATGGAAAACTGGCAGGTCGTATGAACAGTTACCATATGTGGACAGACACAAAGTGGACTGAAGCATGTTCATGTGGATGGTAAAACCAGAGCCAAATTATTTGTCTGATACAACTGGATTTGATCAGGTTGCACAGAATAGAAAACATTCCCCTGCAAGATCCACTAGACAACTTCTGTTTGTCCTACAATGGGAAAATTTTGAAACATGAAGTTTCTTAAGTGACATGACCCTGTGATGAATTAACATTTCCAACAACTTAATTTGAAGAAAATTTGTGAATTTTATCTGTGCAAAAATATTCATAATTATTATTCTTGAATATCTGCCTTGAAACCCACCACGTATTATTCTATTGTAGTTGATGGCAACAAAGAACTGAACAAGAGCAGCTGACTATAATCATTACATTTGTTTCTGTAGAAGCAGCAACATAAGTGGGAGAAAGAAGGGTTATGATCATTGATCAATAATATTTCACTGCATTTTTTAACATGACAGATTTTGCTGGCACTGGAATTATGCGCTTTAACATACAAAAGAAATAAGAATCTCACTCAGGTGATTTGAGTGTTCAGGGCTACAGAAACAAATACAAGGGAGTTTGGAAGACAGTTTACAACTTTAACAAGGAAGTGGTGTATAGGTCCCTGCCCCGTCCCTGTCCCCAGCAGAATGCATATTCTTTGGCTCCGTGAGTGATTAAAACAAGTTCTTGCACTGAAGTTGCAATAACTGTAGTTTGTTCTAAGCATTCATACTTTTTACATCAGAGCATTGCAGCAAAGCTGCAGCGTGCCAATATGTGACCAATCTATTTCCAAAATCCACAAGTGAAATGAGATGGGGAAGCTGAACTGAGGTCATCTACATTTTTGGTACAGAAATGGAGAAGTCTGATGCTGTAGTTTCAGTTCCAATGATTCAGACTTAAAGGGGCCCCATGAGCACAGACTCATAGCAATGCCTAATTGCTGTCTCAACTCAGAACTGTAAATTCTTGTGCAGTGTGGTACTTCGACATAATAGACTTTATGAACTCAACATTCCCAGTAAAAGGCATTAAGAAATGTAAATGGATATCACATAAATTATGATCAGCTAAGAGCCTCAAAAGATGCCCTTGTAAATTACCATTTTGATGAGGAATTCACTAATGCAAAGAAGCTGACTGATTAAACTAGAGAAATCAAAGCAAACATCCAACCAAAAAAAACCCAACATCTTGGCATATGAACAAAAAAAATGTCTGATTCGGAGGCTGGAGATGAATAGTTTACTAATACAAAAAGGATGTATAAGATCATTCTTTTCTGTTATGTTTTTGGTAGCACCAGGCAGTCACTTGAAAAAGGTTTGTACAACTGAAGAGCAGCATATGCTGTTCGCCATTTGCAAAACAAAAATAAAAAAAGGTTTTTAATACTTTTATTTGGAAAAAAGATTCAGGTAAAAAAATCACCACCTTTCTATTCCTGTCAAATTTGTTAACTGCCAGACAACTTGCAGTGGTGTAACCAGGGGTGTGATAGGGTGTCAACTTTGGGAGGGGGCAGAAAAGTTGCTGCTGCTGGCAGCCATGTGTTCATGATTGCAAAGTAGAAATCAGCACTTCTGCTTTGCCCAGGGCGCCTGGCCACATCCCTGTACTGCTGTATACAAGTGTCACATTCAAATGTCAGACCATTGAAAAACGTGCGCCTTGTGCATATCTTTGTCCAGGTGGAGTCCTGGGAAGTAGGGGGGACACTGAAAATTTGAACTTGATACTTGCAAGTCTTTCTTGTAAAGTGATATATTTTGTGAAGTAAGGGCTGACTCCTCACTTTAGGATTCACAACCTGGAACTCTCTCCTGCAGTTAGGTGTTAAGCTCATCCTTTAAAAGAATGGATCAGAGGTTGCTCCTCCTGTGGGGATGCAGGAAGAGGTGGGGTGGCAGTGCCTTACTTTATATAACTGTCTAGCAGTTGGAGACCTTGCCGAGGAGACTGGAGACCCAGGTTTAGTTTCCACTCTTGCCTAAGGAGTTCAAACCCACATCTTCCAAATGAGTGCCTTCACCACCAGGCCAGCAAGCTATTCTAGGATGGGGACACTTTCAATCCCTCCCGTTGAATCTGTTCTCCTCTGCAGAATGGTCCCACAGTGATTGGTACAGACAGTACATCTGCCATAAACTAATGTATTATCTTTATTTTAATGTTAAGTATTTGGGGAGTTTTATATTATCCTGCTGTCCCTAGTCAGGAAGGCTAGAAGGAATTCAAGTTGTGCCTGCGTGTGCTGGCATGTTTACTTGCGTTAACAGTAATGACAGTAGATCCTTGTTTTGCATAAGCAGGTACCGCAACCTCCTGCAATGGCTTCAGGATGGCAAAAGCACTTTTACCCAAGAAGAAATATACTGGTCAGGCAGATGTGACTGGAATCTGTGAACATTTGACAGGCTGCGATTTTGCTCCTGTGAACAAGTGATGTGATGAGAAAGCAGAAAAGTGTTTCTTTAATGATGATGCCAAAACCTGTTACCTGTAGCTTCCCTATGTGGATTGTGAGTCTTACAGATATTTACATAGGCTGTTCAAAATGTGAAAGCAGAAATTGAGGCTCCCTTAAAGATATCAAATGTTAATTCCCAGCCTGAAAATTACTCTTTTATATCAGATGCAGCACTTCCAGAAAGGATTGCTACTGAAGTATATACTGAATTTCAAGGCTCGAGAACAGGATACAATGTGAGGAGCAAAATATTTTAGTAATTTCGAGTTAGTATTTGGATACCATCAGATCAAGATCAAATTCTCTAGAATGCTTTTCAGATTCATGAATGTGCCAGGGCCATTTCAGACTGTGATAAAAGGGCTAATCCAAGTTTTGAGATCTGAAGAAATGCTCATGCACTTGGATGAAATAATTTTCTTACATAAAACCTGGGAAGAACATTTGGTATTGGTAGGAATGGAAAGGATTTTAAAGCTTTTGAAGAAAATAGGATTTAAATTTGCAGAAAACAAATGTAAATTTGTAAGGACTTGCCTCATTTCCTTGAGACACGTAATCGGTTAGCCTGGGTTGAAGCCTCAGCTCCAGAAAATGTCATAAAAGACTGCCAGGTTCCTACAAATTTAGAGGTAGCACAGAGGCTTATAGACTTTGTAGATCTAGATTCATAAAACAGAAAAATGAAATGCAGGCAGCACCATTATACCAACTAAATAAAAGTAATTTTCTCGGGACAGAGAAACTTCAAAATGTTTGAGTCACTGAAGAAAGGAATTCTCAGCCACATGGTGCTTAAATTCTTGGATCCATCCTCTTTGTGATAACCTGTGGTGCCCCAGAGGTTGCCATCAGATTTGCATTTGAACAAATGGATTATCTTGATAGGAGCAGAGCAGTGGCTTTTGGAGGTCACAATTTAAATGAGAAGGAAATCAAGCATTTGGCTGGAATTTTGGAGCATTGTCCATGTATACCAGGTAAAGAATTTGCATAGATTATTGTGCTGTAAAGTGATTCCTTACAAAATACAACTCTGCAGTACTTGTGTGGAGATGCATTCGAAAAGCATCTGATTATGTTTGCAATTTGCTTTGCATACATCCAGAATGCAAAATGTGGCTGCAGATACTTTTGACTTAGTGAGATCAGACTAGACTGGTGACACCAGGCAAGAAAAGTTATGGGATCATGACTTACTTCTGGTGTACTAGCAGTTCTACCAAAAGGGGCCCAGACTGTTCAGGGATAAAGCTGAGGAATGAATACTCGTTGATCTTGCTGATATATAGGAAAGTAACAGGATTCTCTTGCCATTAATCTTTTAAAGAACAACACTCAAACATCTTAATAATAATGAAACAGAAGGCTACCTCGGGTACTGAAAGCAAAGAACAAATAACTTGTCAATTCTTTATGACTGAGCATGGCTGCAGATGGTACAGAGTGGGTATTTTCCTTTTTTACCTGTCAAGAAAGGAAAGCAAGGACATTAGAATTCCACGGGGAAAAATGCCACAACCTGCAAGTTCTGGGATTTGATATAGATGGACTTGAAAGCCCACTCCCAGAAACATTAGCTGGAAATCAGTAGTTGGTAGTAGCTTGCGACACCTTGTCAAAATACGGCTGTGCATCCATTGGAAGACGGAAGGACTGACGCAGGCACAGATGCATGCACTGTTGCAGTTTAGCCCTGATCTGACTGAGCAGAGGAAGGAATTTGAATGGCTGTTTTTACACACAGATTACCAACAACTCCAGATAACCAAAATGAAGACCAGCATTACTTCCTCTGTGAGTAACAGGGGAGCAAAGAAAATAATCCATATCATTGGCTCCATGTTTAGGGTCTTAGTGAAGACAAGACTGGGATACAAAGAAATTTCATATTGTCTGTGCAGAGGACATCAGCAAGGACACACTGTCCTCATTACCCTCTCTCTGAGATTATTTTTGGACACCACAAATCTCTGTTCCCCTGTGACTTTTTAATGTTTATATTTAACAGTATCCATTTTTTGTAATAGTCATTAATTTTTGACCCATCTTCCATTGGTTTAGCCAGTTTCTTTCAATAGCATTAAAATAAATGTAATACTATATTTTATATAATTGTTATTAACCGTTAATGCAAAAGAAATAAAGAAGAAAATAAGCAGTTAGTTTGCCTTATTTAATTCTAGGAACTAGTAAAATCAGAAAGGAAGAGGTAAACCTTTGTACCTACTCTCCAGTTTCCTTGTAGTAATAGTTATTAACAGTTATCTATGTGTGTTCATTTTTTTTCATACAAAATGGATAAATTCTAGGAATCACTTACAAAAATTTTATAAGGAGATGGAAAGGAGGAAAATGAGCAGTTAATGCACCCATAAAGCATTTTCTCCTCTCTAGAGTGAAACCTGGAAAAATAAAAAGCTAACATCTTTGAACAAAACCAGCTAAAGATGTGGAACTACAATGATACACATCAACCATAAGACACAATTAAGATTGTTAGGTCAGTTAATAGTGTACATCCATGCTTTTTTTTTTGGTTCAGGGAGCAAGAACTGGCAAGCTTCCCTGCACCCGCAGGGACTGGTAAGGTGGCAGAGTCCTGTATTAGTGACCTGAAGACAGCATCCCACAAGGCGGATGAACAGGTAAGCCAAAGTTAGGAATTCATGCCAGAAAAAAAAAGAGAAGCATGTGTCCATCCAGGAAAGAGGGATAATGTAAAAGCCATAGAAAAGCAGTTAGGAAAAAATCCCAAACTTATCCTTTTTGGAGGGGATCTTAATTATTAAGCTACTGGACAATTTACCCTGCATGCTACAGAAAATCAAGCGTGTTCCTTTGCAATACATCAATCTGTTGCACAGATTAGTAGAAAGAAAGGGAAGAACAAATGCAAGAGACTCATCATCAACCCTCCCAGAAAGCATGCAGAAGAGAATATGGAAATATCTCAGTACATTTCTATAGCTCATAATTGGAGACAATTGTGGAGGAAGAATTGCTGGTGTGTGCTCAAGAGCTCAAAGCACTGCTGTCTTCAGTGGAGAGTCTGCTTACAATGACAAGCTTGACCTGGATGACATGAGTCCTGTATTCACTGATAATCTAGATCCAAGTGTAAGCAACTTTCCCCCTGGCTGGCTAAAGGACATGAGTAAACAGACCAACATGGAAACCTGCATGGATGGCAGACCACCAGGATTTCTAGGAGTTACCAAATGATAAATCTTGTGGCAGCCTATAGACATGCTAGGTCATGTTCTAATTGGAATTCATCAGAGCAGACTCGATTAATGGGGTCCGCTCTGTGTTCTAATAAAAACGGTCTAGTATCGCCTCGCTGTCATGTGTATTAAGCCCCGCCTGCATCTTAAAATGGCTTTACGCATCGCACAGCCACTTTAAAACGCCGGGGGGGAGGTTAATACACATGACAGTGAGCCATTTTAATTAAAGCAGCTGTCGGGGAACTGCTCTAATTAAAATGTCCCCTCCCCGCCCCTGAGCACGTGTATAAGCACCTTTTGTTCCTATTTTTAAATTCTTCATAACTAAAAGGGGGAAAAGTTGCAATGACAGCAAGGACAACTTCAACAATAGGTGGTGTTATATCTTAGCTTATGTTGTCTTGTCTGATTATATTATTTCTGATCAGGGGGCTAGATGAAAGTTAAGTCCCACCTGTGTGTACTGCAGTGCCCTAATAGATCCTTTGATTTCTTTAAGCAGGTATTAGGCCAGAAAGTGGGAAAG